TTACTAGTAATTTTTAGAGCTAACACTTCCAAATCAGCGTTATTGGTTTCTAGAAACTACGAGCACTTTTAGCAGAAGATATTTATTTGTGGTTTTTTTTTGTTTTTTGTTTTTGTGATTTCCTAAATTTGTTAAGCCTCGATGCCCACATGTTGTTTTATTCTTCAAATAATACACTGTTTCGATTGTCTTTGTCAATTTGAAGCCATGAACAGCTGATATCTTCGGCCCAAGACTGTGCAAATTCAGAAATTGATTGACTCAGTGACATTGCATAACGAGGTAATAAATCATCGGCCGGGTCGTTGTTGAAATTACCGCACAAACCGCAGACCTGAATTTTAAACTGTATAGCATGTGTGTAATACAAATTTTGTACAGCACTTCGCCGGACTCGAAGAGTAGCAGTGGCTAGAAACTTGTCAATTGTTTTTTTTTTTCAGAAATCCATTGAGCTGGGTATTTTTTCAGGGGACGAAAAGGAATTATAAAGTAAGAGATAAGGGATCAAATCGAAATATAATTTGCACGAAGGCATGTTAACTTGCGTCTTTTTTTCATCCCTTGGCTGTAAACAGCTTTTTTTCATCCCTTAGCTGTAAACAGAGACCGAACACTTTTTTTCATCCCTCCTCCTCACCTCTTCAAAATGTTTTTTTTAAGCTTTACTGCTCCGCGTTTCTCAACTATGTTCCGTCCTCCCTCTCCGCCGTGCTCTTTGCCATGACTCGAAAAAAAGCGTGTGTGTAGAGTTGTGCTGTGAGTACCAATGAAGCTTGGTTCAATACAACTCAGGGATGAAACACAGACAGTGTACCCAGTCACTGCTGTGCAGACAGGCTTGCTTATTTGGGAGATGTAAATGGCACTTCCAGTGTTTTTATTAATTATCAAAATGCGATTGTGTTCCTCTCCATACTAAGGCCGATAATGCTAAACAAACTGCATATGTTAACACATAGAAGATTTCAGAAGACTGCACATTTCGTCTTCTTCCAGTCCCTCTAACACATTTCGTTTTCTACAGTCCCCGGGCCAGAAATCTTAACTATTTGTGTCTTTAAATTTTCGACAACACTTCCTCTTTCTTGCTGAAAATTGGCGGTAATTGCGGTTAATCTGTCCAACTGTATTTCGCAAATCCACAGTACAATCACCGGCTGTTCAGTGCTTTTGAGTTTACATGTACTGTGAATGTTTGTTGGTATTAAAAAAAACCTATGTTTTGATTTTTGACTGTAGAACACCTGAGGAAATGTACCAACCTTAAACTGATGCCGTTTGGTGAGTACAATTTCGACAAACGATTCACCATCCCAGATTACCTTCAGGCCAATGAATTTAAACGAAACAATCACATGTCCAGTGGATTCATCCTCATAGGCTCGATACTCTGGCCAATCACTGTATCGAACATACGGAAGGCTGATTTGCTGATCGTGTTCACGCACAACCTATTGCATTTCATTGCTT